CCCCACCCCCTCTTGAACCACTCCACTCTGTCCCCCAAGGCCTTCACCACCCTGCTGTCTGTGTCCATGGATTATGTATATACGTCTATAAATTCTTTGGTTAATCTCTTCTCAAGCCCCCCAAACCCCATTCACTTTTAACAGTCAGACCTCCCTAGGTTTCTAACAGGATTCCAGAAGGAGTTCTACTGAAAGGTAATCCAAGTGACTGTCAGCATGCTCTCCTTGGACTCCTCCTCCCCTCCTCTGACACATTGGGAAGTTTGGTTTACATAAACGCTTCATTTGATTGCAAGCACATTTGCTCAAACATAGGAGGTACATAAATTTTTATAACTCAGCTTATATGTAGTAGGCATTGAACTTGCTGAATGAATGTGAAGCATTAATTTTTCAATTCCACCAGAAGCTCCTTGAGAATGTACATGTCTCTTGCCTGTTCTCCTCTGTTCTTTATTTCCTTGTCTGTGAAATAAGTCAATCATAGCACAAACTCCAAAGGGTTGCTGTGAAGATGTGTAAAGCACTGACAATGGTGTAAACATTCAATAACCATTAGTTTATCATGAACATTATTCTGAGATACACATATTAAAATAGACTTGTGAGACACCAGCAAGGGCTGCCTGTCCTTTGGCTATCTCTTGTCCAATTCAACTACATCTTCCCAGAGAACAAGGTCTTTCCCAGGGGTTCCTCAAACATTGATGAAAAGTGACTCCAGGAAACCAGTAAAGAACATCAGACCCCCAGACTTTCCCAGACAAGTTTGAATGAAAGAGTGAATGAACACAGATAAGGGCAGAGCCGTAATACCAGTTACAACTAAACATCATCTTTTCCACATGAATTTTAAACTATCTGCTGAAAAAGAAAAGACACACACATGCCCATGGATGGGACATGCTTCTGAATGATTATGATTATGCAAAGTATGCAACTGGCCAAAGAGCCACTCCTCATAAGTGGCTGGAAAAGAAGCATGACCATGCGCCTTGCATTCTGATTGACACACTGAAATAAACCCAAATAATGTCAGACTGTGTGACCTCATCCCGGGATGGGAGCCAGAGGCTGCACTGGAGATCTCTGCAGTTATCAGATCTGGAGAGTGTTTCACTTGCTTTTTCTTTTAGCAAAACAAAAGGTAACAGGGACAGAAGGAGGCAAGCAGGTAGAACCAGAAATCCTTCAGACTTCATTACCCTAAATTACCTGCTGATGAATCAACAGTACTTGTTCGATGGTTTTACAGAAGGTAAACTACAACTAAAAAAAATATCTGAACTGCAACCATGCTTTCAATCTCTTCCTTTTCTCTTACTTGTACACCAGAGAAAGAATATTCACGATTCCTGACCAAAGGGTAACCCTTTAACACAACCTCAAACAAACCCTATTTCCTTGTTCTATCTTCAAACCCTTTTTCTTTCACACCAGTTGGTCCTCTCAATCCATTAACAATAGAACCCAGAACCCTATTATTAACCCCCTTTTACTGCCCCACCAGTATGCCTTAGTGGAAAGGCCAAAAAAAATGCACCAATTTTAGGCAGTGTCCTGGAATGGTCATGGCTAAGGATCTTGATTTCTTCACATATCTGGCCTTCAGTTACTGCAGCTATAAAATGAAGTTGATCTCTGCAGCCCTGTCACCACCAAAACCCTCACAAATTTTCACGGGCTTTCAAGTGTACAGAGAAACAAAGAATCATGGGAAGTCAGACCCCACTCTTTCTATCTGGGTGAAAGAACTGTAGAAATTCATGCTCTTGCGGGGGAGTGGGTGGGAGGGGGGGCACCTGAGGGAAAATTAAGACAATCAAATATGGGAGAGAGGGGACACCTCATCTTACCTTCCAAGTAAAATTAAAAAGGGTGAGCACTCATAAATACAAAGGAGAAAAGCTGGCCAGGAGCCCAGTGGTGCGAAGTACCCCCAAATCTTCTCTTCTACCAGTGCAGAGCATTTCTGTATCTGGTGTAACTGGGAAAGGAGAATTAAGTACATGGCATGTTTTATCAGCAATAGAGCAGTGTACTAGGTGCTAGGACACACAGGCAATAAACAATATTTCAATCAGATTCAACATCTTTCTAGTGGTTCTCTTTAGGAAAGATCAAGCTGATGGCACAACGTTCCACTGTGCTCTCTACTCCTAGTTTAGTGAATGGCCCATGAGTCACCCACGTTTAGAAGGTTAGAACAGTGGAGGCCACAATTACGAGCGCATAGCATTGAAGAACTTAATCAATTAATGTTTCTAACCAAACATGGACAGCTCACAATCAATGGAAGAAGTTACTTTGTAAATTGGATTTTTTTCCCCCTTGAATTGGAGAATTAAAAACTTGCACTGCTTGGCTTCCCTGGACATTTTCCAGATTTGCACTTCAGTTTCAGCCAAGATTGAGCTTGGTTGCCTAAAGACAATAGTGAATGGTGTCGCAACTGTCTGTTAAATCTGCTTTTAAGAGCAGTTAGGCATTCTTTGCAAAGAGGCTTCTGTAATTTCCAGCATGTTATTTTATTTTCAATTTTTCCTTTTTCTTCCCCAACTTTTACCCTCTTTCTCCATGTGCCTAAGTGCTCAGGTAATATACATACAAATGCTCTAAGAGACAGATGGGTAAGCACCATCTCATGGCGCCTGTGCTGCTTAGTTAAAAAAAAAAAGAGAAAAATACCCAAAACAGAATGTAGTAATTCCATCCTCTCAAATGCTATAATAATCACTGCAGGGGGTTGTTCTGCAACTAAAACTGCAGCACAATGGACATATAAATTAAGGCTACCAATAATGCTTGACAATACAATGAAGCAAGTATTCTAATATCCCCATGTCCACAAAGCCAGAAAAATTACTTTAAAACCGTAGCAAAATATACAACTTGTTAGACCATTTTTGCAAAGGCAGTGCTGTATTCTCATTTTTTCCCAATATGTAATTTTCATGTAACTGAATATGTACTCCAGGAATGTGGGCCTCCAAATAGATAGAAGATCTTCTTAAGCTGTAGGGTATATCAGCTGTGCAGGTTAGTCTCTACAGGCACAGAATACCTGAAAGCTTATGAATGACTAACTTTTTTTTTAAAATATATTTTATTGATTTTTTACAGAGAGGAAGAGAGAGGGATAGATATTAGAAACATTGATGAGAGAGAATCACCGATCAGCTGCCTCTTGCACACCCCCTACTGGGGATGTGCCCGCAACCAAGGTACATGCCCTTGACCGGAATCGAACCCAGGACCTTTCAGTCCGCAGGCCGACGCTCTATCCACTGAGCCAAACCGGTTTCGGCATGAATGACTACCTTTTAAGAAATCTTTACTGAAGTGCTCATCACAATTGGATAGCTCTTATGTAATTCTAATAAATTATTATCCCCATTTTATAGCTGAGAGAAGAAAGGCTGAGAGAGTTAAATCATTTGCCTAATAAACATTGCTAGTAAGTTGTAGAACCAAGATTTGAACCTGAAAAGCTATGTTTCCGGAGCCCAAACAATTAGCTACCTATACAATCACTCTGGCTGTAATACTGAAGTCCTCAATTTTAAAGGGGAAAAAAATCAAGTCACATATTATTTCTCCTAGAAAACATTTTATAAAGCCAGATTAACTTGGGTCCAATCCAGAGAGATTTGACTAAAAAATGCCTAGAGGACATGAATTCGTAGATTATTTTGCCTTTAACATTCTCCTGGTCCAAAGTCCAGAAATAGGATTATGGCTAGGGCCCCTCTGAATTATGGGGATGGGTGAAGACCAGGGCTATCTACCTATTGATCCACCTGCTTTGAGTTATCTGGAGATATGGTATCTCCTGAAGTATGCATATACCCAGAAATGTCAAGGCCATCAATATTTACATTACACAAGCCTAAAGTTCAGTTCAAAAGGGTACCAGTTATTTATGGGAACCTTTTAGTCACCTAAATGGGAGAAAAGGAAGAGTTTGGAACTGTTCCCATTTTATCTTAATGATCTCTAATATAAGAAGTCTACTGCCAACTGCTAAGACATTCCACAGTGAAAGGTAAAAATCAGTATTTTTTAAATATCACTTATGGTATTCACTTTTCATAAACCTAGTATGACCCACAATAAGAAGTTACAAGATCCCATCACATTAAATGGTGCCTTAAACCTCTGAACAATAAGCAAATCCAAAGTGATGATACATCCTAATTTTAGAAGGATTTTTCTTCTAAAGGCTATATCTGATATTTTCAAAATTCATGAAAATAAAAGCAAAGAAGCCAGTATCTAGAGCTACTGGCAATGAAACAAACCATTTGAACATAACCAAATGCCCCATTCAAGTTCCCCTATGTTCGCTTGTAATATTTTTTAAAATCCCTGAATAAAGCTCTCTCCATAACCTGGTAAACCCTTTTTATACACACACACACACACACACACACACACACACACACACACACTCATCAGAGTTGGAGGAAAAACTCTTTATCCACCCAATCACCCATCTCATTACCTCAAAACTGGAAAGAAGTCCATATAAATGAAAATAAAGTCTAAGAATCTTAAACTAATAGTTTTCGATACACTTCCCCAACCCCACCAAAAAAAAAAAAAAAAAAAAAAGTTGCTGAATTCGTCATTACACTCCTCACATGTGGTAATACCTTTGGGCCTTATAAAAAGAGCCTGAGGACCATAATTGGGCCACTAAGTTTCTTTGATGTACCAACCCTATAATGTCAAGAAACAAAAAGCATGAAGGAAAGATATAGAAAATTTAAAGAGTACCTACATGATTTAATCAGTATTGACACACTAACCTTTTAATGGAAATCTCCTTGAGAAAGTAAAACAAAAATTCTGAAGACTCTACTGCTTGCAAATAAGAAGTGTCCAGAGAGGATCAAAAGTTGTATGCTCCCAGTTGAAAACTGAGTTTTATCTTCCTGTTTTGACTAGAGGTCTCTTGACGAAGGGCTTGCGGTGTTATAAATTATCCCATTACTCACTCTCCTTGGCGATCCCCGCTGGAACAGGAAGGAAGTAAATCTTGGAGTCCTGCACTTACATCCCTTAATCATACACACGCATGCCCCCCAAAGCAGTAAATCACTGCCTTCCAGTGTGTCACCATGATTCACACCTGAAACAGAGCAGAGAAGACAGGTACTCAGAAATGCCATTTCCAAAGAAAGGTATCTTAATACATTAAAAATAATAATATGTAAGCACCACGGTGTTGTTTTTTCAAATCAACATCACACCAGCAAGTCTACCATTCTAATTAAGAGTCATCAGCCATGTTAAAGGCAACTTTTATAGAGCACAGCTTTGCAAACAGAGCATTTCAGGATTCAGTACCCTTTCTAAGCTCTATTAAAACCAAACGTCTACATCATGTTCACTTACTTGGGCATGAATTTAATTAGTGGAATTGGCTCTTTGTTAGGCCGACTTTCTTCTTCAACTCTGCAGGGCAGAAACATGACCTGTCATATGTGTTATGCCATCTAATTATATAAAAGACCTCATTTAAGTTTACATAGAAGTGGGGAAGAAGCAAAATATACCATCAATCCTAAAGAAAAATATTTGAGATTACCCCATTTTCCAAGATTATATGCCCATTGATTTATTACATTTTAAAGAGAAAGAGGAAAAGAGATTTTTCAATAGTCAAAGAGCTTCCTTTTATTTTGATTACGAAAATGCAAATTGTTTTCAGGTTTATATGAATGGTATATGTTTGGGTGAGTTTTCCTACTCAATACACAACTACACTGCTTCCATTTATCTGTCTTGTCAGGGACAGTCAATAACAGCAGTGCATACTCAATACTTTTAAGCACATTACATTCTCCCTAGCTGGGGAGATAAGAGCCACACCTCCCTCTTGCCAAACAAAAGCCAACAGAACAGGCCAAAGGATAGAAATACCTCCTGCAGATTTCACTCAAACTTTTTTGTTGAGTTTGCACCATTATTATCAGCTGCCCTTCACAAGGGCCAGAGTTTCATCAAATCTGTTATCAACTCAATATCAGCACAGCAGTACAATGGTCTCCCTGCCCCCGATTTGAAATTGATGAGTGGATGCTAATGAGTGCTCTATCTGCAAGATTTATCTTTTACACTTAACTCGCTGACCTTAATTTTATTTCATTCAAAATTTTGGAAATAAGGCCCACGTTGGGCAAAGAAATGCATTATGACACTCTTTCAGCAGAACAAGACCAGGCTGACAGGCTGTGCCTTAGCTGCATTTCAGCAAAATGGCCACCTCAAGGCTCAGGCTCTGAAATGACTGAGAGGAGGGATTCTTTAGAATAAAACAACAAAATGACATATTTTGGACCGCAGTGAATATATACATAGGATAAAAGCATTTTTTAAAAATCCATTGTGGTACATTTAAAGAAAAATAATGTAATAGAAAATAGATTTTTTTTAAAAAGCATTTACTCAAGCTACTACACTTTTAAGATTGTTTTATTTTTTTTATTGATTTTAAAGGGCTTTGTAACAGGATTATATACCCAACATTGAGGACCTAAAGCTCTTTGACTGCATATAAATGAATTGTGGCCTGTTCAACTTTCAAATGACTCTTATCCAGACTCCATTAAAATTATAATAAAACGAAAGTATCTCCTTTGACATTTTGGTTGTGCTGTGGAAAACACTGCTAGTAATGCCTCAGCCTGAATGCATACATCTAAAAACCCTTTCCTCAATAACCCCTGTGAACTAACACCTGGCCTCCAGATTGAAGAACAGAGTGCAGTGTTACTAGACAAAAGGAATGCATCTTGCTGAACAGTCCAGCACTAAGCATGAGTTCCTGGTATTCCTTCAACCTTACTACTGCAATGAATTTCTATTTGAGTGACAGCTTTTTTTTTAAACTATACTTGTGTTATGTTTTACCTCCAGCTTTAAAACTGTGCAAATGGAAAAGAAACCAGTCTTGGTAAACATTCCCCTAACTATCATCAGATTTAGGAGAATGTTATTTGTAGACCTGAAGAACAACGCAACATAAACCACAGAGGCTAGTGCCTGTCAGCTGTGAAGGGTCCAAGGATTAACCCACAGCAAACTAGCCCTGCAGTGCATTCCAGGGTCACTTAAATACGAACGCAAGGAAGATGCCTTTTAGCTAAAAATGTAGATGTCAGGCAGCTGCAAGTCAGATTTTTAAAATGATCTTTGGAAAATCTCATGGGCTTATGCTATACCTAAAATGGCAAATACTGACTCCTTTTACTTAAAAAAAAAAAAAAATTTTTTTTTTTAAATGTAATGCCAGTAAACCACATTCAAGGTCAGAAAAAGTCTACTTGGCCACCTGAATAAATCTGCCATATTTGGTATCCAAAATTAAAAGGCAGAGATTTAAAAGTAGTAGTTAAATGCTAGATTTCAATATGAAAACTTAAACTTTGGGCAGGACATAAGCCAAAATAAGGACAACTCATTTAATGGCACTTAGTCAGTTCACTTGTTAAATATACTCTGATTTATACACATGGTCAAAAATAATACTAAAGTTAACCAAAAATGGCTAATATCATAACCAGACACATATATTGAGCTATTATGTATGTTGGAAATAATCACAAAATCGTTAGGTCAGTCTCGAGCAGACTAAGGATAACTGAATATTGTTAAAATAGTAAAATATCTGAAGAGACATGTATAGCAAGGAGTGCACTTAGGAAAACATCACTAAATTATATCCTTAAACTCATCTTGCCTTTAAAATGCACCCCCACCAGACACATTCATCCACCACACAGAACAAAACCAGAAAGGAGTTCAGAGTCCATAACCAAAATAACAGCCCAGGAGTTTGTGGGTTTTTTAAGTGGTGGTTTGAGATTTAGGTTTTGTTTCTTTATATAAATAAAATATCCATGGAAATATTCTCCTGACACTATGGAATCAAAGAAAAGAAGATTCATAAGCCAAGTGGTTGACCAATTTCTTTTGATCAAAGCAGTTAGAGGACCATCTAGATCAGTAATTTCTTCTACATTCCACTTGATTAATTGTAGTGAGATATAAAGCCCTTTTTTATTGAGGTAACACTGATTTATATAGCATTATGTAAGTTCCAGATGTACACATTAAAATTTGACATGTACACAATACAGTGTTCTCAACATCAAAGATTTAGTCTCCATCCATCACTCTGTTTACCCTTTTTGCACATTGCCCACCTTCTTTCTCTCTAGTAACCACCAAGCTGTTGTCTGCATCTATGAGTTTATCTGGTTGTTTTTGTGTATTTTCTTAAAATATATTTTATTGATTAAAGAGAGGAAGGGAAAGAGAGAAAAAGATAGCAACATCAATGAAGAGATAGAACCATTAATTGGCTGCATCCTGCACATCTCCCATTGGGGATCAAGCCTGAAACCTGGGTGTGTGCCTTGACCAGGAATTGAACCATGACTTCCTGGTTCAGAGGTTAATACTCAATCACTGAGCCAAACCGGGTGGGCTCTATTAGTTTTTTGTTTGTCATTTGTTTTTACTCCAAAATAAGAGTGAAATTATATAGTATTTGTCTTTCTCTAACTTATTTTTAATGTTATAGCCTCAAGGTCCATCCATGTTGTTGCAAAAGGCATGATTTCATATGTTTTATGGCCAAGTAGTATTCCCTTTAATGTGTGTGTGTTTGTGTGTGTGTGTGTTTGTGTGTACACATATATACACAATATATCTTCTTTATCCATTCATTTGTCAATGAACACAGATAGTTTCAATATCTTACCAATATCTATATATATAAAAGACTAAGCGAACAATCAATCAGTTGACTGGTCACTGTGATGTACACTGACCACCAGGGGGCAGATGCTCCCTGGTGGTCAGTGCGTTCCCATTCCTGGAGCATAGCTCAGCCAGAAGCCAGGCTCACAGCAAGCTGCTGTGGCACAAGCCTCTCCCACCTCCCTGGCAGCGCTACCGAGTGGCAGCAGCAGCAGACACAATGGGGCCAAGATGAGCGGGATTGGCATGGCAACCAGCCCAGGCTCAGGATCTTCCCTGGCAGTCTGCAACTTCATGCACTACTACATCCCCCAAGTAGTCCCAGATTGTGAGATGGCACAGGCCAGGCTGAGGGATCCCACCAGTACACAAATTCATGCACCAAGCCTCTAGTTATAAATAATGCCTGAAGATGCTTTTATTGATTTACCAGCAAATGTTCCCATATCAAGTTCAGTATTGAATAATAAACCACAGATATTCAATTTCAGTTAGATAGTAACAACCTTCCAAAGCATAAAACCGTATTTTTAACATCAACATTTTTAAGAGAGAGTTTGGAGGAGGTGGGGGAAGGATTAGAGAAATACAAAAAATAACTTATGGAGAAGTAGAGGAGAGAATTAGTTTTTCACATTACCCTAAATGTGTTGTTTATGTTCAATTAAACTCAGATTGAAAAACAAGTGCACGTCTAAGAGATTTATATTCCGGTTACCAATATGAAGACTCTACTAGCTGATGGGAACCTCTTCTGAAAATATTCATGTTTTACTGATAAGCATTTTGTACCAATGTCCAAAGAAAAAAGCTTTCTTAAGCCCATCACCGATATCACCAATGACTCAAGAATTACACAGGGAAGTATAAATGACTTTATATCTTTGGTTGAATAACAAGAAGCTCTTGGAGCAGAAAGTTCAAAGATACAACTTGTTATCCCAGAACCCTAAATCTATAAATCTCAAAGCTGACATCTTCCAACCTGAGGAAGTAAGATCAGGAGAGGCAATTCTATTCTTAAGGATCTGACCAGCAGCTGGTGTCCTCATTTGGAATTCTTGGCTCATGCAAACATGTTTATGCATTTGGTGCATTCATATAACTTGCCAATTTGCTAGGCTTGACACCAGTAAGATGGCTGAACATTTGCTGTTGTCCATTTGTTGACTCACGCAAACTCAAGGCCTAAATGCCACCTAAAAAGAACTTGACCAGCTGGGAGGAGACCAAGTACTTGATGAAGAAAACACACTAAGTCTTGTCTCAATTTTCTCTGGGGGAAAAAATTCAAAAATTAGATATAATTTTCTAATCATCTTAATGACCCTTTTATTTATCTTTTTTCTAATAAAAGCTTGA